CAAGCCTCTTCTGAACGGGGGGTAGATGAATTGGTGAACTGCCTACTTTCATTGAGTCCTTGTGAGCTAAAAAGTCCAAGGAAAGACTAAAATAATATGAACTCCTACCAATGCAATGTCCTTCTCTTCTCCTCCAATAAGAATTTATGTACCAAATCAAACGCTGGGGACACATTAAAAGCTGCCACGTACACGCACTTCCATTATCACCAAAATTGATGAGTATATAGATATCATTTGCAAATTACTGAATTCTCACCACGTGTTTTTTCACCCAATCTTCTCCCAAGTAAGTATAGGGACGAAATAAAGACAAGGACACGTGCCACGAGTGTGTAGCCTCTACGTACAGTTTGGTTGTTGAATCCGTTACTCTCTTTATATTTTCCAAAAATACTAGTATTTCAATTGATTTTAACCTATGAATCAACCCCTAATTTCACTAGGAAATTTGTAACTTCCGAATTCATCATAAAACAATGAATAATTAGTTTAGAAATAAAAACCACTGAGAAATACAGTATCCAACTCTGTATATGGGTCCATAATTAAATTAAATATTAATGTTGGTTTCGGGTGTAGGCCCGAACCTTAGGACAAGCATATGCAAAAGCAAAGATTTCTCTAAGTTAAGAAATCAGGCGAACTTGAAACTTCGTGAAGCTCGAAGCTGAGTTCAGGCGAACCTACAGTTCAGGCGAGCTTTGGAAGTTCATGCGAAGTTGGAAGATCAGGTGAGCTTTGAAGGTTTAGGCAAACTCCAAGTGCAGGCGAGCTCCAAGTGCAGGCGAAGCAGTTCAGGTGAGCTTGGCTATGTTCAGACGAACATAATTCATACAGGTGAGCTTCGCAGACATGCGAACTTCGCAGTTAGGCGAGCTTCGCAGACAGGCGAGCTTCACAGTCAAAACAAATTCCTAATCTGTTTTCACATAGGGTTTCCCTATAAATAGGGAACCCTGGCCGCAGTTTTTCATGTGATATTCTTTAGCGATTTTTTTCAGAGAACACTGTTTTGAACAAAGAAATCTCAGGGAGATTGAGACCATCTCTTGCAAGCTTTGTAATCTTCTTTAATATTCAAAGGAATTTTTTTGTGGCTCCCGAGGACGTAGGCAAGTTGCCGAACCTCGTTAAATTTTTGGTGTTTTCTCTTTTATTTTTTCATTGCAAAGTTTTCTTTTATTTACTGTGATTTCTTCTTGCCTTCTTTCAACACAAAGATCCGGAGGACACGTTCTGCGAGAGGGTTCATTTGACAAGTTGTCGATAGGACGAATCCTTCCCAATAATTATATACACTGAGCTAAAACATACCATAACAATATCAAGAACATTGGCGGCTCATTCTCCGTTCTTGTCTTCAGAGTTCACCGCCGACGATCTCGAGGCGGCGGAGGATCTCCTCTTGTAGAAAACTACCGACCCGGAATCCGATGACCCCGATTTCTTCCCGTGCTGGCTCGAGACAAAGAAGCGATTAATTGACGATGAAAGGAGAGGTGGAGGAGGAAAAAGACCGAGCCCTGATGCTCCTCCGCCGCCTACTTTGATCAGCGGTGACGAGAGCCCAATGCCTCCTCCTCCCCTTCCTCCGCCTCCTCTGCCTTGGAGTTTGGAAGACGGAGGAGTCTTTGAGGACCGATGAGCAACAGGAAAGGGTAATACATTCTCTCTCTGAAAAGGGTGATTAATTAATTCTCTCTTTAAAACCCTCTCATTGATATAATGAAGATCATTGTTGTGATGATGACGATGTTGATTAAGTTACAGAAGGATGGAATCAATTAGTTTTGTTAAGTTGATGTTCAGTTTAAACTATAAAAATAAAGTTGATGGTCTTCTGGGGACAGTTGAAATCGTGGAAGCAGATAAATCCAATTGTGAATTAAGAGTAAAACCCTTACTCAGGTGATGGAAGTTAAAAAAAATTAAGGGTAAGAAAAAATAAAAGATAAAAAAGAGACAAATATGTTATTAAAAGAGAAAAAAAAGAGACAAACATGATATTAATTTCCAAATTAATCATGAAAAATTAGGGACCTAATGCCAATTTCAATGATTTGGGGGACTAAATTAAAAAATTAAGAATAGAGAATATAATGTCAGTTTCAATTATTTGAGGGACAAATTTCAAATATTAAACATTTAAGGAGCTAATATTTAAATTTTTTTAAAAAATAATAAGAAACATTTTATGTATATCGAATTCACGACCCCTCCAAGATAAAACTTCTAGCTCCACTGATCTCACCTACATAATGGAGCAACTTGTTAGAAGGCGCTTGAGTGGAGTGCTTTAGTTGGTCCTCAGTCGGTCTTCTAATTAGTATATCTCTTTTGTGTAAAAATTATCACCTACAAATTTTTTGAAATTTGTGTCACATCAGCAGCTAAAAAGCAGTTTAAGTCATCACGTGTCACGCACGTGACGAGCTCTCGCCGGAAAACTGGTCACCGACGAAAAAAATGGTCTTATTGGTAAGTTGAATAAATTAAAACGTCTTAAAACATATTTGACTAATTAAAATATTTTTTTGATAAATGAGGTGGAAGTAAAATACCAATATGAGTATTCAGCCTCTGAAGAACGGTGGGAAGTTCCCTCACCAAACCGAAACACAAGAAGCAGCAGTAAACCCTAAATTAAGATAGCTTAGCTTAACAACAGTTTACCATCGGAATCTGTATTCATAGGAGATCGTGCGGGCAAAAGGAGAGGGGTATACCTGTCGACGTCTCAACGGCTAAGGTGAGTACACATGATGTCTCCTCATTGACCGATGTGGTTACCAACTCTCCATTTCCGAAAGAGATAATACGGCAAGTCAATTACACATGTGACCTAGAGAATTTCACCAAATCCTTTGTGACATTATTATGTTAATCAATCTCCG